CCACTTTTTGGATTTGAGATTATTATTTCCAATCACGTTATATTGTCAGTTCATTCATAATGCATTTGCTTACGGCGTTAACATGTTTCTTGGAATTCATGATGTCGCTGTCCGGCCATACATTTGAACCAAGGAGGTCAACGTTCTCATACAAAAACCACCAAACCGCATTCAAGGCATATCATAGAAAGAACAGACGGTGGCAGCAGGCTGATTGTTTCTATCTTCTTCCTTGTTTCTATCTTTTCTTGATCTAGGCCTAAGAGTGACACGCAGAACAGTATGGTTGTGGGTAGTCAGCTGCATGGTTGCAGTTTCTACATAAAGCAAGAGGTTGATCTCATGGAGTCAGCAGCGGTATACAACGCCCCCGAGTATAGCAGCGCTGATGATGTTGCCCCCAGTAAAACCGAGTTTCTAATTCCAAGTACTCAGGAACAACAGATAGTTGACGACAAACAAGCTCTTCAAGATGTAAAAGCCGGGGAGTTAAGGTAAGGAGTGGTCGATGATCGAATTTCCTCTTTAAAAGTTAGCGTAGTAATATTTATCTCTGCTGTCAACACGCTTATTGGTTCTGTCGTTGGTCTATAACCGTGCCGCACAACAACGTGCAAATGCTTTGAGCGTGTTCCAGAGTATGCTGCAGTATCCCCGTTTTGTGCGCGGATTATCTAAGCATTAGCACCCCAACAACGCCTTGGATGACGTGGCTTCAAATAGATCTACGATTTTAAAAGGAGATGCAGCACATAAGAATAGCTGTCATGAACTTAAATGAGACGCGCGGTACGTCTACTACCTTAATTAAAAAGTGTAGAGTATTTTTGAAGATCTTCCTAGAACTATTTACCTGACTTTCTTTAACGTCAAAACCCGAGCTTAATTTACTAGATGTATATGAAAAAAACCATGAGCCACGAAAAGGTAAATAAAAAGCTTATATCTTTTTAGTATAATTTTGTAAGTGATATAAGTAGCAAACTGCGACCGTGTGACACACTCAGAGAGTCAAAGTCATTGTACGTTCATTTTCCATGCCTGTTGAGCTTATAAATAATATTGGGCTGGTTTTTCACACAAGCGTCCAGTATGTTGAGCTGTTAGATGTAGGTATTTCACAGTTTGCCGTTATGAACCACACAGGTCTACCTTTGTGTGACCATCTTGCAAGCATGCGGGAAGTTTCTTCAAGGAACAACGGGTTCTGGTCAATATTACACTGGATCTTATCATAATGATAAGTTACATGCACATTATCCAAATTACACATTATTGAAATAACAAGAAAATGCCCATCGGTGTCGCAACATGAGCTTTCCAGCATGCAATTGTGACGCTCACAGCAATCGGAAAACATTATTGTTTTCGTGTTCTTCCGCTATTATGTCAGGGCCTTGCGTCAAGAACGGTTGCCAATTCATCATGTTTGTGTCACAAATCAACTCTGAAACAAACACGACAAATTTAAAGACATACAGAAATAGAAAAAAAGTTACCCTGCCACATACGATGTAGCTAGTTTGCAGAATTCCCCATCGAAATGGGCTTACAAGTGATACCATACGACAAACAGATGCATCGCACAACAACACAAAATAACCAAATAAACTTATTTTTAGTGGTTTCAGAATAAATTTGAAAGATAAAGGTGAAGAAAGACACATCTGAGTCGTTTAAGTTATCTAGAAATGACGCGCATGAGCAAAATATCCGTGTGCACACAAGGTACAAGCACAATGTCTAATTCTATTTAAAAATACACATCGAATTATTCTTTAAGTTCTCTTCATATACACCCTCTTGAATTAGAAAGGATGTACCCCGGGAAATGTTTGTTCTTCTTACAATACACTGTATTTCCACCACTTGCATATGCTGATTTGAAGATGCGTTTTCTGATATTGTGAGTGCCTGGTTTTAGCGGTTCATCACAGAGGGCGCTGGGAGCAGAGATAACGATGTGCTTTGGTTTATCCATGGACCTCAACTAAATTTAGTAGGTTTTTATCTTGCCGTCCATTCCAACACCTGTTCTTCTTCCACGCACGGCCCAACCCTTGTCCCGTTTCGGCTGGAATCGGCTTGTCGCTAAAACCGCACAAGAAAAGTGGTCAGAACGTGCAGGGGGGAGGGCTGACCGAGTTCTTAAAATATGGTAAATTCCAAAGCTATAAGCGTAGCAGAGTCAGTCTTACGTGAATGAACTGTATAAACTGTAAGGTTGACGGATCTGTGTTTTGCAGAGGTAGATGCAACAAAACAGCTTTCACTATATTCTTACTTGTCATATTTCCCCTTGTCAATTGAAAAGTTGAAAATGCCATTTGAAAAGTTCGGTAGATGACTGTTAGATAAAACTTATTAGACAGTTATGTGTACGTTTTCTGTTCTTGTCGCTCATCAAAACAAACAGTACACTTGTCAAAGATGGAGTAAATGGGAAAACAGTCTTTGCATAACAAATAGCATATACTTTTCCATGTTAAAACGAGACGTATTCCTGCTACAACGATTAGTTTTTTTTTTTCGTTTATATTAATGGACGCTTACAATATTTTAGCTACAGAAGTGTTTGAGTGTGTTGGCGATACAGAGAAATGTGAGTTTACTCAGCACAAACATTGAGCTCAGTTTTGCGTTATTCAAATTCGCGGAGTCACTGAGACGTCACATAAAAAGCACGAAATCATATTGCTGTGTCTGACCATCATATCGCATACGGCATCAGGCTTTTTTTTAATTGAATGGGATGTTAATAATTTTGTTTGGTTTTCTCTTGAAGCCCAACACAAAACGTCTTCTCAGAACCAAGAGATCAAATCTTGACCACTGGATACGCACAACAGATAATTCAAACGAAAAATCAACTCCGTGATTTTTGGTGAATACGATCTTTAAGCATTAAAGGAAAACAAACATGTTTAACTTATCTTTCCAAAAGGTAATAAAGGTAAGGTTACGAATGTTTTCTTGTTAAACTGCGCTCTTGTAGATCGACCGAACCAGTCATTTAGTATTTCCAAAGTTCACAGGCTTACTCCTACTGATAAAAATTATCAAGATACACTCTGTAAAAGATTCATCTCTTATATCATTTAATAAAGTATTAAATGAACATGAGTATACAACTATATCTTTATTAAGCTGATAAAAAAGGCAAAGATCAAGTCACAGTCTATGCTTACTGTTGAAGAAAAGTCGCTACACATAATGAAACAAATGAAATACTAATCTCTTCCGGTCCGTTCCTCACATTCGCAATACCCTGGATTTTAAAGTGACGATAAGGCTGCCAAAAGCGGTGCAAAAATTTGCCAGCAGGTCTACGATCTAAAAGGGGGGGGGGCATGATTTAGCATTAAACAGTTCCAGTTTTTACTTCTCTTTTATCGTTAAAATAGAAAAATTATAATAAAAAAGAAAGAAAGAAAGAGAAAGAAAGAAAACATTTCTCTGTTTCTATTATAAGCTTACAAACCACTAACCTGACACATTTCTACAATAGAACTCCCCCAACTTCTTGCTAATGACTTCACGGCAACACAAATACAATGGAAATAAATGCCACAGCACACTTCAGGGAACAGGAAAACAACAGGATTGATGCATGTTCCTGTACAGAGTAGGAAAGAAAATCTATATTTATATGAAAGCTCTTGTAGGTTAAATAAAATAGGATTGAACAGTACTTCCTGTAAATCGCTTTTTTAAATTGAATGGAAACAGCCTCTTTTAGTAAATTAAACTAAATATTATTTGTTTATTATTTGTTTATTTGTTTATTTGTTTACTTATTTATTTGTTTATTTATTTATTTTATTATTATTTATTTTGGAAACAGCCTCTTTTAGTGAATTATACCTGTAATAGCAGACTAAATATTATTATTTGTTTTGCTGTCTGCATGTCACATAACTGTATATCCTGTATGATATCACCATGGAGTACTTAGAAATATGTAGTAATAAAGATAAATAACGGGTTTACTAACAACAATAAACATTTGAAATAAATAACAGCAAACACATCGCCCATATTAAGACCTGTCTAAGTTATATGGCATCCTTAAGTGCTTGAAAAAATAAGAATTTCAGAAGAAGTTGGACTTGCAAATATTTAGATTAAGACCAGCTTTTAGCCTTTTTTACATAGACACATAAAATCAACCTTACACAAGGCACACACCCTGACTTGGGAAATATCTGACATCAGCTAGTCTTGTATATTGCATTTGAAAACTAACATAATGGGGGAAAGTATTGCAGACAATTAACTAAAATAGGAACCAACTGAAACCCCCTGTTGGCTAGCAACTGTCAGCTTCTTTTTATTTTTAGAAACAATTGATTCAACAATTGACTACACCTGCCCTTATGTACACATGGAATACCTTCTGGGTATGAAAAAGGGGCAAACTTCAGTAAAGGTATTCTATGTACTGGGTCCAATTTAGTCAACAATCACTACAGCCTGTTTAAACAAACCTCAGAATTGCTTTTAAAAAATCTCAGCTAAACCAACAAAATCTAACTGTTTCTGGGGCAGGTGCTAGGTGTTATGGCCACCGTCTAATCCTCCCTTGGCTACATCTACAAATTTTGAGGACTCAAAAGCCTACTGCCTTCTCGAGTGAAAGCATTGTGTTTACTAGCATCTTAGAGATACACTACAGTACCCAGGGATGAATGAACTTGACGTCATCACACCATGTGATCCGTAAGTAAACGCTTATACAGTACCAGTATGCTTGCGTATGTGTAGAATCAATAGGAGACAGTATAATAATAGGTGCGTGGTATATATAATAACACCAACCTTGCCTCCCACAACATTTCTTACGTTGACGTTCAAGCTATCACAAGGGGGTGTGTTTCTCGGTGTGATACTCACACAGCTACCGTACAGCAAGACAGACATGCAGAGAATGTTGACTGTGTCTGAGAGATAAAAAAAAAGGAATTACAGTGGACAAAAAACATCATGATGTTTAGGTAAATTTCATTTTTGTTTTAAATGAAAGTTGTTTTGCACTTTTAGATAAAAATTAGCAGTCTAAAACTACCATGTATTACTAAGAGTATGTAAATATAGAAGAAAATGTGTTAATTGCCTAAGTTTACCAGTTTTTCTGAGGCTAGAGTTATTTCTGCCTATTAATTGGATGACTAATCATAAATTGGATTTAAGTGTGTGAATAAGGACTTAGACATTTTAAGTGAACTCTGATATTTTGAGTCAGGGGTCAAATATGGTTTCAATAATGAAACATTGTTGAACTAATTTGTAATATTGATTTTCACTGCCTAAATTATCCTAGTAAATAACAATTTCCCTAAGCAGTGAATTTGAACGATGTATGAAAACTAAGTTGTCACTTAGCACAAATCACTTTACCTGTTGTGTAAACAGAGCAATTCAGTTTAAATCATTTTCTTCTTTTTGTCGGTATAAAATCTTATCCTTTTAGAAGTTTTTTCAAAGTACAGCGTAAGAATTAGAAAGGAATTTATTTTTAAATCTTAATTATTTTTATTTTTATTAACCCACTTGATATTCTACCTGTCTGACAATTGGAACAATCAATTCAGCTATCTTTCATATCTATTTTTAGACCCAAGCATTTATTCTTGTGCTCTACTTTTTTAAGCCATTGAGGCCCTACATATACTTTTGTCGATGTTTAGCCTACGGATTTGGGCATTGTTATTCATAGCACTGGCGTCACAAGCAGGGGAAGGCATTGTGCAATAGAAAAGAAGGGGCATATTTAAGTGGGACTTGTCGGAAGAGGATGCTGACCTAACTTGAAAATTGATGTCTTAATGTCATAAAAGAAGATTTGTAGACAAATACACCACTGAAGCAGAGACTGAGTACATGTACAAACGCCTACACAAAATATTGTTTACTATGTTCACTCTAAAGCTTCATATAGTGCATATTTACTAATGCTTACAATGAATATTTTCTATCTAAAACTTTGATTACAAAATTTCTCTCAAAGGTTTTTCGGGTAATATTTGGGATAAATGCTTCCATTGTTAGGTGCAATAGCCACTTTTCATTTTATATTTTGGACTATGACACTAAATACTATCGATCTTCCACATTATTATAGTAGAAGAGACAGCACCTCCTTTATAGTGGAACTTATGAATACTGAGTATGACGGAGTGATGTTCTCAGTATATATAGCTTGTGCTATTATTTAAGAGTGATCTGTCGACACTTCAAAGCATTTTTTTTAATGAATAAGTTATTAAAGGTACATCTTAAAAGAACACAGTCTGTCTATTATATATCAAATAACACAAAATAATAATTACAAAGATTGAAATAATATCATACTAAGACTTGGTTAATCTGGCATAATATAAATCAAGGCAAGGACGAGAAATGGAGAGGGAATAAATTTAAATTTATTACATTTTCAAAATGTTTTAATATATACTTTTGACATTATTCATAACATGTACATTCTCCATACATCTCCCTTATTATCAATCTGGTACACACACAAACACATACTCCCATTAGATGCCACAAGTCTTTACATTAAAAAGGAAGTATGCCACCCAAATAAGGCAACTAATTCTTGAAATCATCCTGATTCATGGACACACAGGATATAAAACAGGAATAGTAAGGAACTTGAAGCGGATGTAGGTGTCTATTACTTATACTTGGAATTCAAGCATGCAGTACTAGTTGTTGGATCAGTAGTTCCAACAGGAGGTAGCAGTAGCTGATAATGCAATATGGAGTAAAATCTGTGTGCATTCATGTTAGAAACCAGAAAAAGCTTGGATTAACAGACTCAGGTGTTGAAACCTGAGGGGAGTGAAATGTGTGTTTTTATCAGATAGTATAGTTATGCTACTACTTATTAGAAAAAAAAAGATAAACTCTGTAACTTAAAGTTTTAAACTGATGAGGATGATGGATATAAAATCCCTTTCTGAAAATAAGAATAACCCCATTCAAATTTGATGAATCATTTCATGCATTGTGATAACATAAAGTTAACAAATCTCATTATTTTTTATTTTCCAGGTCAACCAAAGGAGCTTCCAAGGTCCGAAGGGATCAAATTAATAATGAGATTTTGGTTGTGCGTGACCTGCTTCCCCTGCCCGAGTCAGCAAGACAACGCCTATCTCAACTTCAGATAATGTCCCTAGCATGTATTTTCATTAGAAAGAGCAATTATTTTGCAAGACGTAAGTATAACTCATCATTTATCCTTTTGCAATTTTCTTTTGGGGGAGGGGGGCCTTAAATTTTTCTGAATATTATATGCAGCAGTAGGTATTGCAAATACAGTGTTGTAAATATAGGGAATATCAGGAATTATTTGTCTGTCTATCAGCCAGGCTAAGCCACATTCCTCAGTGAGAGGCATTGTAATGACTGAAAATAAGTGCCAATGAACATAATTTTAATGGACAATATTTTCAAATGATAAGTATTTCATTTATTGGACAACATCCATCCTAGGATACAGTTGTGTGTAACTATTTAAATCAAGAAATGAAAGGCACTCCTGCTGACTCTAATTCTGAGAAATATTTCCATTTCAGTATTCGGCAATCCAGGATATAGTGTTGAAGGGCCATTCGAATTTGCACAGGTATGTTTTCTATGTGTTAATGTCTTGCTGTACAGTAAGAAAAGTTTTAATTTAAATAAAATACATCCTAAATTTCACCAAGTTTAACAAATGTAGGCCTAAAATATATCCATTTTACTTGAAGAATAAAACTGTCTTCCGTTTGAATAAATTATACAGACATCCCCTATTTAGTAGGATATATATACAATAAATATATAAAAACAGTTTATCATTTTTTACCTGATCCTTATGACGTCAGTGTAGTGTTCCGCTCATACATCTTTTCACGAAAACGTATGACGTACGGAGGTTGACAATCATTGAATTCACGTGGACGTCATAGCATCAGTGAGGTCATGAAAATCTGATAGTGATATTTACAAAGTGAAAATTATTGCGCCTCACTTCATCTGAAGTAGTGGGTAACAATACTAACATTTGTAGTGAGTACTTTATTGTGAAATGCTACATGTCAGTGGAAGTTCATCTCTTGTGTAGTACTGAATAGGATAAATATTAACAATAAATTATTCTGTATCATGTATTAGACAGTGATTGGACAAGAAAAGGGGCAGGTACAAGAGTTGCTATTTCATAAGTGACTGTCACATACATGTATCTGAGCATATTACAAAAGACCTCCCAAGAGGCAAAAAAATGCACTCATATACCTTGATCTACAAAATCAAAATTTAATTAAAATTTCCTCTGTGTGTGATCAAGTGAAATGCCAAACCAATTAACTGGCAATGACCTTAACAGTTACTAACATTTGGATAAACACAGGAGTAAAATGACATTGAGGACAAAAAAAAAACTATCATGAGACAATGTCAGTGTTAAAATGAAAGGCTAGATTCAATACCAGAATGGAAGTTCTTTTGACTAAAAGATAATATTTGGTGCATGCCACACCTTAACTGTTCAGCTGAAACAGGTTAATTTTCAAAAAACTTCAGTATGACAAAAATTAGAGGAAATATATAAAGCCAGACTGTAAATGTATTGCTTTAGCACATACGCTCCTTTGTGAAAGAAGCAATACGACCCTGATTTCCTTAGCTTATAGGTCTCCCATGTTGCCTTTTATCCTTATTGTCCCTAATTCGGGTTTTTATCTCAAATTTACCTAACCTACTGGTTTTAGGTCTCATATATTTGAGCATTTCAGACATTGTCATTTATGATTGTAGCTTGAAATTCATCAGTGCATTAAATTTTGTATTTTGGTGCAATGAACTTGAACTGATAAAAATCGTTTTACATGGCTGGTTAACAATGGGTACCTAGATGCAAATCACACATTTTTTTTTTCTTTGATTGCAGACACTTCCAGGGTTCCTTCTGGTGGCAACCAGGGATGGGAAGATGCTATATTTGTCAGAAAATGTTACAGAATACTTAGGACATTCAATGGTTAGTATATATACATACTAGCTACGACTTGCTTTAATTTGGTTGAAAACTGGTTTTGGCTATAGGCTAATTATGATGAGACCATGATGACACTGGAGGTGCTGACATGATTAATTCATATGTTTCATCTTCTTTTCCTTTTTTAAAGCAGAAATTAAAGAGACGTTTTGGTCTATTTTAATCTAAGGCAATGTAGTGTGCATATTAATTTTTTATATAGAATTCCAACCATGCAACTACATTTTAGACACAGGCACTGGTAATATCACACGCAAATGCTTTCTTCATGTAATATATACACTGCACTTGTATGATGACATTATGTCAGCTTACTGGGCACTTTGCTTTTTCAGGTGGACATGATGACCCAAGGGGACAGTATATATGATATCATAGATAAGAGAGACCATACAACAGTTCAATCACAGCTCTTGCAAACTTCTTTTGGGGAGAGTCAGAACCAAAATGTTAGATCTTTCTTCTGCCGGATGAACATAGCCCGTACCTTGAGAAGACAGAGTAGTATTGGTGATCAAAAGGTGTGTTTTTTTTTTCACTCATCAAGTTTGTTTGCTGTTGTGTGTGTGTGTGTGTTTTTTTTTCTTTTTTTTTTTTTTTTCTGAGAGAGGGATCACATATCTGTGTGGGTGTGCTACTTATTAGGTGTACCTGCACAATTAGGAAAAATTCATTGCCTCTGTGGGTGTGCATGCATTATTTGAGTGCATTCATTGTTAAGGAATTTGATATACCAGGAAGAAACCTACCAGTATCAGAAACATGTTTACATGTAAGTGGTGAAATGTAATGAATACTAAACTCACTTCATAAAAGATACATTGTAATTTCACATCACTAATGTTACAAAACTTCAAAAAAATGGAAAGTTGATGTATCATTAATTCTTTGAATTATATGTTAAATGAATAACTTTTTCCCTGTTTTCAGATTATGCATGTTCATGGGCAGTTCATTCAGCCTATGATACGAGACCACTATGGAAACCAGCCTGTATTCCTGGCCCTGTGCAGCCCTCTCATCACGCCAGAGACCAAGGAGACGGCTCTACAAAATAACACCATGGTATTCAAATCAATTCACAGCCTAGACATGAAGTACATGGAGATTTCACAAAGGTAATTAAAGTACTTCCTTGTGCTTACTTTTTTAAAGAAGAAAAAAACATTAGACAAGTACGAAGAGATAATTTTTATAGTATAGTTCCTTTTTAAAAAGTGCTGTGTAATCTTTACAATACATGTGGGTGTAATATATGTTGTAGAGGAGAGCATCATCTTGGTGTCACAACAGAAGATGTCACAGGCAGGTCCTGGTATAGTCTTTTACACCCAGAAGATGCACAAGAGGCAAGAGATAAGCATGTGCAATGTAAGTAGCTATGGCAGTGTAATAATAATAACAATAATAACAATAATAATAACACATATAATGATACATTACAAGCTATACCTTTTTTAGACTAGCTGCATTTAGCCAGGGCAAGTTCTCTTGTAAGAACAAATACCATATTATGAACAACCATTAGTGCACCATACCTATTTGCCACAAAATATAACTAATATAAGCGTAGCACGATACATGAAGACCAATTCTGTGTCCCAACTGACAAAAATATCATGTAGCTTTCACCACACCTAAACACTACATACCCAAGAGTGGTTGACTAATGGATTGGTACATTTATGGACAAGTGAACATGTCCCTCTAGGGGTTCAAATGATTGACATGTCCAATGTTTCAATTTTTCAGTAATTCATTCAAGTCATGAAATGGGGTGCATGCTCACTGTACGACTGATAAGGAACGACAACACCTGTATCTGGGTGAATACAGTGATGCACATACGCCAGCCCTATATATCTGATAATGGAGAAGCTGCTATCATGTGCATTAACCAAGTCATAAGGTAAATAGCCCTTTTTGAGATATCTTTTATAATGAATTGCTTATCTAAATGTGCCATTCAAATGTTTAGGTTAAATCTCATCCTTTGGATCCTTGGAATTAACTTTTAAAATCCATATTAATTTAGAAATTGTCACTAAAAAATAATGGGAACAGAGGGGAAAATATAATTATTTTTAAATTAAACATCAAGTAGGCAATAACTCTTCTTCTTTGAAAGTCCTAGTAACATTAGTATACAAAAATACAACATACCAGACTAACCAGATTAAAACCAAATGCTTATCATTATTTGATTGGGTGTGTGTCAAATGATTGACAAGTACCCATGCTCCAGTGGGTAGAATGCTGGTTTATTAATCATCAAAAGTGCCAAGCATAGTTGCATGTGGGCTAATAAATTGAAAAATGTACACTTCAAATTGTCAATGCTCATCAGTGCAACTCTATAAGTGGGATTTACAAGTCTAAAAGTTATAGGGTTATTTGGTGATGATAAGATTTTGGTGATAAATGGCTATCTGAGGATATGTCTAAGAATTCCAATTCTAGGTGAGAATAATGCCTTTTTACCCCGAGTTTGTCAATCAAATTAGTACTTTCCTCCCAGGAAAGCCGAAGTCAATAGCTAGACATGAAGGACAAAATGAGCAAATATACTTGTCATGGCGCTGTAACAGAAACCAGTTTCCTTAGTATTATTCTGCTCTAGTAAGGCATGCAAAGCTTCATTCATCATGACCCTGGAGATGCTTGGATCCCATTCACCTTGGTCTATTAACCAGTGATTGTTCAAATACTGAGCCAAGTAGACACACAGTGACATGTATTGAAGAGAGGATGTGGCTTTCAGAAGGAAACATTCATTTAGTTCATGCAAGCATTATAACAATACAGTTTTACCGTTATAGAATTCAGACAAAAATGATAAAAACCATCCCCAAGTTCTGTAAGTTAATTAGGAGCATAGGTAAAAACTAACAAGGGCAATCAACAGTTAACAATTTTGTATGAGCATTACTTTTAGGGAAGGGATGGTGACAATTGCATTTTTGTACAAATCTTTCAAATATAGCTGTACTTGCAAAGCACGGCTCTCAAAACAAATAAATAAATTGGCAGATAACAGCAAGTTCTCATCAAAAATTTGCAAGATAATAAAAAGCCAATTTTTGAAATACATAAAACTGGAAAATTTAAATATTTCAGCCAAAGCAAAGATTTTCACAATACTTCATGGACAACATCTTTGCAAGAATTCATCTTATTATTTACTTATGTTATATTTTTTCAGTGAAAATGAAGCTCCATATTTCAAGATGCAAAGTCAGATCTACACAGCTCAGATGGCCCGTAACTCAGAGTTCATGTACTCCCAGCCCACCAGCTACAGCCCACAGCGCTGTCTTTCACAGTCCATTCCACCAGAGGGTGTTCCCTATGCTTTAACCACAACGCCAGTTGCTACAATGGATCCATACAGTAGTGGTTTCTCCACTTCCCCCAATCAAACAAACTATGGAGGCCAGTTCTCTCTTAGGACAGCCCCTCAGCATTATCTGGGAGACAGCACCAGTGGAAGCTACACCCATCCTGACATTGCTCTGCCACCAAGGGGGAGCCTGGGCAGTTTCAGTGAAAGCCCCTCTGAGTACAGCCGAGGAAGCTCTCCAGGACTACAGTCAGTCTTCAGCCCCAGTGCCGCTAGTCAGTTCTCTTGGCCTGAGCAACCTGGCAGTAGTATAATGGCAGATCCCATGCACTGTACATTGGCTGACCCCATGAAGTCTACTCTGGGAGACCCATTGCAGTCTTGTGTGACTGAAACCTTGCAGCAGCCCAGTGGTATCAAACGCAAATCTGAAGATCCACATCCAAGCTGTCAGCCTTCCAAAATGTTAAGAGTGGGTCACTCACACAGTGACGACAGTCAGGGTGGTATGGGAGGGATAGGAAGTGGCTTCGGTAGCTTCCCTACAGAGGCATCATTTTTGTCAGCACCATTCTTTAGTTCACCAGAAGGAGGGAACTCAGGAAGTACATCTTTTGTCTATGGCTCTATGCAAGTCCTAACACAGAACAGCTATCCAAGCTCAACAACAACACAGCAAGCCTTAAAAGCTAAACTTTCAATGATGTGCATGGCAAAGTCAAATGCCACTAAGCCTCTTACAGACTTTCAACCACCCACTCCAGAGTCTCCTAAAGATCAGCATCCCCTGAAGACCACAAAAGAAGCAGTTGCCACTGAGACTGCAACAGTACCCGACTCCTATCTTACACCCGATTCATCACCTCTGCACATCCATGGGGATTTTCTTCTAGGGGACCACAAAGAGACAACAAAATTTCAACTTGAAGAAGTCATTGCCACCATCACAAAGAATATCAGCCAGGAGCCAGTCGCTGATTTGGAAAAGTTTGAGGATGATGAGAAGCACCTTTTGCCAGTGATTGATGCAGATGTGGTGGATGAGTGTTTGAACTCAAAGACATCATCAAGCCAAGCTGTTCTGAGGAATCAATCACTAACATCATGCACTCCTTCTGTGCTGACCTCCTTACCTAGTCAGAACTGTTCCACATCAGTTGCTAAGAAAGCTACCAAAACTGCAGCAACGCATGGCCTCAAAATGACAGATGAAGACAAGACCAACCAGTTCTTACCTGTCATCAATGTGATGGAAATTGAAAATTATTTCAACCACTTTGATGATGATAGTCGGGATTCCACTCACAGCTTTGAAAGCCATGCATCACCAAGACCTTCTTCAACTGGAATGGGAAGCAGTCCAATCCAAGGGCACATGTCTCCAGATCCAAGTTGTGCTGGCACAACAGAAACCAGTTATGAAAATCTTCTTGAAACAGTGGGGTTCACTGGAGACATTTCATTTCTTATTGAGTCATTCCCTGTCCCCACGACCACTACTGATGCCATGTCCCTGATGGATGCTAATAACGTCCTTGGTGACAGCCTGATTGGAGATTGTTTTCCAGCGACTACCTCCTGGAGTCCACTCCATCAGCAGAATACTCCCCCAAGTTATGGGGTTATTGTTTCAAACCAAGAACTGAGTCAACAGCTCGGTGATGTAAACCCTCCACCAAGTTATGGTGAGTATCTTATTGCATTGTTGAAAAAATAACATTATGATCTCCTTTTTAAGTTTAACAAATCATTAAAATTTTATAAACTTAACAGACATTAGTTTAAACAGTGATCAATATTCTTTCAGATTAATAGACAAGTTCCAAGCTTCTCAATGCAATATATATTTTTAAATAATACAGGAAATGTCTCACAGTATCCTATAAGTATTAATTTTAAGGTTATCTCATTTGTTTCCCATAGGTGGACCAACAATGCAGTAAGATGTCCCTTCCTGTAGATCGGGAGTTGTATCTTATGTTTCGCCAAAATGTCTGTAAGGCATATTGCCAGTGATAGATGGTTCAAGTTTTGGTCGCATTGCTGCCAAGTTCCAGGATGAAAGAGCAGAACTGAAATGGACAAATGTTCCATGTGCTATTTGCACCAGACCAAAGCTTTGGCATAGATCAAGACTGTTACTTGATACTGCCTTCACCCATCTCTATTGAATCACCTTGCATTTCGAACTTGTTTCGTGCAGTGCTGACTATATACTGATGTGTTGTTAATTCCATGAAGATCAACAGTAAAGCAGGCTTTACTATGCATATTTTAAATACAGGAATATTTGTTACACAGACCACAAAAGTATATGGCAATTCTCAGTATATACAGTGCTGATTCAATACAGGTGGGCCAAGTAAGTTGCAGAATTAGGATGCTCTGCAGGCAGAGCAGTTACAAGAAGAGATTATGCGAGGGACAATATTTGCATTTAGTATATATGCAATTATATGTGTGCTATTAACTGAGCTAGAAATATACTTTAGGGTATAGTTATATTATTTTCAGTTTTTCATAGTTTTTCATTTGAAGTATTTTCTTTGGTAGAGTAAGAATACAAAACTCTGCAGGCAGAGCTGTTTGTAGTTGTATAACTATTATCAAGGTGGTGGATCCAAGGGCCATGTTTAAAGTGTGAAAATATTCAATAATTTGACCACAATGGATACAACAGTAATGTGAAAAAAATCTCTTCAGTATTAAGAAATAAAATTTTAAAAAAGAAAACACTACTTTAAAACCTCTGGAGCCACCACAGCACAGCAGCCTATTTTGCAAATGTAGTTAGAATGGTTGCAAAGAGTAATGTCAAATTCTGCTGGCAGAGTTGAAAATATGAACCGATACAAACCGAACCCAAATTTATACCAAATTTCCTTTTTCTGTATTCACTCTGCAGGCAGAGTGGTTAGATATAACATAATTCAAATCACCTACCTAAGAACTGGATTAGTGGACAGCTTACTGGACTGATGTCAATTATTGAGAAATATGTTTGTTGCCATGGTAATATGGGGCATCTATCCAGGTGTTCATTAGCTGCTGGTAGTGATTGCCACCTGGATATACCCATTAATCTTTTGGTTATGTTATCATTTTGAGACAGAAGCCATACTTCAGCAGTGTTTAAGCCATTTTCAGCAATCTATAGCCCTCCCTCATTGAAAACTAGGAATTTACAGAAAAGTTTGTATAATATAAACAAAATTTGTTTTTCCCCACAAATTTGAATAAGATAATTATGAAAATCATTTTTAAAAGAATTTACATTTAGGTGTGTAGATGTATAATATGGTGATATTGATTTTAAACATGTAGTGATTTTTCAATTAGATGAAGACCATGCACATGTGAGCCTCTTTTCTGAAGCTTTTTGGTTCATTGGGTCAGGAAAGGTAGAATATAAGAACCACAATTTCACTGGTTGAAGTTCAGTTTTTGACAGTCAGTCCTGGGATACTGAAGGGTGATATCTAATTGAAGAACTTAAATTGATGCATGCATTTGATGGAAATTATTGTTTTTGAACACTTTGCTTGGCAATGTGCTTTTTTTTAGATAGAGCAGTTAAATTGTTTTTAACATAGAAAAATAGAGGACTATGAATGCCATTGAGGAGCTGCAGATGATATGAAGTCATTAAATAACCATAGAACCTGCTGGTCAGGCATAAAAATGTGTGAATTAGGAAATAAACATATAGTGAAAATGATAGGTAAAGCATTGTAATATAGGTTTATCTGACATATTTAAATCAGCTGAAAGTTTCAAAGTAAAAACAGATGCTTACATAGCAAATATCTGAACAACTGTGAGCAACTACCCAAGCTTTTGAAAAGGGTAACAATGACTGTCATTTTTTTTTTCAATTATCTTGCTGGCCAAGATCCATGTCTAGTTGATGCTGTCCAGTCAGTAATATTATAAGAACATATTTAACCAAAAATTGTCTATTGTGCTTAACTTTATTCTAATTTTTATATGATTTAACCATGTTCACTTGTACAGAGTGGTATTTTAATATTACTTATAAATGTAAAAGTATGCAATTAACAATATTAACATTATGATGGATCAATATACAATTTGTAAAATGGTAACTATATATTTAATTTGATATCTTGACATATTTAGTTTATACAAAGGATGCATTATGTAAGTGGTAACTACATATAGCATACAAAGTAAATGTGTACTTCAAGTCTAATATGTATTTTTTCTGTTGTATAATTCCCTGACCTTCTAAATTCAAATGTAATGGCTTAATATGTGCCTGTAGCATCTCAAAGCAATTAGTAAGATTAAATTCAAATGATTGTTTTTTTATGGTCAAGGTGTATGTAAATAATGTTCTCATCAGTAATTATTGTAATAAATATCACCACAACCCATGGTATTATTTTTGTTTTTCAATCTCTCTCTTTCATGTAAGAATAAGGAACAAACAAATTCACAAGTCATAACCCAATGTTACACCAACTAATTAATAGTTATAACAGTAACAGTGAAAAACTGATGGTTGGTCATTCAAGAAACATTGGGGGTTTGTGTGTCAGGAAAATTCAGGTCATACTGTATAATGGAACACTCCTCAGTATAAACTTTGTTATGGATGGCAAAATTTTAATGACATCTTTGGTCCTTTCATTTTCATAAATGCTGGTCACATAAGTATACAAACGTTTTGCCAAATGCAAAGATAATTTACTTTGACTAAAGAAAATGAAAACTTTTTTGTGGTTAAAAAGTAAATCATCTCTAAATAGACAAAACATGTTTTCTCCATATATAATACATGATATTTTGATCTTCCATGTAAGGAGCTAGATTATGTGAATGACTTGTGGATTGATAAATGTCCAAAATGCCATGCATCAAAGGCTGACAGCACATCTGATCATTTCACAAAAGGTGGTGAGAAACCTACTTTGCCATCTTTTCTATAATGTTTGTCATTTTTATTTGGCTGAAATAGTTCATCTAGTTAGCAAACACAAAGTTTGTTCTTGAGTGAAACCAGTGTCAGTTATTTATTTGGTTCAAACTAAATTATCAGGTCCAAAAGTAACTGCCTTTTAAGAATTCTGAAATGGTTTAAGTAAAAATCAAATGCCAAAGTTAATGGGAAAAATCAATGGCAACAGTTGCAGAACAATTCCCAGTGATGACTAACACAATCAGAAATTTCTCACCTAACACACTTTTTATATTGAAACCCTTCATTTAGTGATGTGTAATTTCCAACTTGGCTAAAATAAATCCAATCCATATCTAATAAGGAATCAAACTTCCAGAGTTTTGCTAAAAAAGGGTTACTTAAAAATATCTGTGAAAAATTAGCATTTCAATTTTCCCTATGATAGAGCTTCTTAAAATGATTATCTTGACTTTATAACTAAACAAATCAAATGTGCAATCATTTATTCAGTGAGGTTTAAGCTAGCACAATGGAATCAGATAAATTTCCAAATAATTAACATATATTTCTATAAATATATATCTTTACTCAATGTCTATCATATATGCAATATTTTAATGTATGTGGTGTCTTGTTTTCCTTAAAACCACTCAATACCTTTCTAAATGAATACCATTCAAAGTTAGAGCTGAAATTTGGCAGTAAAATTTACCTTACATGTGAATGCAATAGACAATCTGTTGATCTCAGATAATTTCATATTTGCTTTACTCTTCTTACCTTCTGTCTATTCAGAGTATAGAGTTGCAAATGTCAAATACCCTGTGTGTCCAGGCATTTGATGAGGAGGTAAGGCAGTCCTAAATGAAAACATTTCACTGTTTTTCCTAGTTTTATGCTTGTATTGCCAACCTGATGATCCTTCCACCTTAGCATATTTCACTTGTGGTGAGCCGTTATCATCTACTTGTTCCCTTTTTACATCACTGGAATGTCCTTCACCCTCACCCTGACCCAGTTCATGAGGATCTTTCATATCACCTAAATCGGGTTCTGGCATATTAATACTTTTGACTTCAAATTTTCTTACAAGGCATTCCATTGTTGTCACGTCAGTAAAGTTGCTTTCTGAGAGAACTTCGCACACACGCTGAACTTGTTCTATACATGGGGAGAAAGAACAGATGCGTCCACCTTGAACAAACAATGAGATGTTCTTCAGACAAAATGGAAAAATGTAAATCTCATTTAGCAAAAAGGCGCATTTTATTTGGGGTCAAGCTGACTTATAGAGTGAATATTATGAACTTTTCTGATGCAACACATGTAGCTTAATTCTATCCCATAATACTTCTTTTGCTCTCTGCAATTGCACAGATTAGCACAATAAGCAACACACAGATCACAGTGAGACTCCTTCATGAGCTTTGTTCACGTTTTTTTTTTTTTTGTTTGATTGTTTACCTCTGGTATTTGGAGTGCCGAGCATCCATCAATCACACATGACTCCATGATCTGATTTGACACTCCAAGCAAATGAAATTGATTAGCGTGCAGCACACTAATTGCCAGGAATGTGCTTATACAAATTTGAGAATGATTGTACTATAGCCATTGTAGTGAACGACCACCATTTATAGGATGAAAACAACGTATGATATAAGACATACAACATCAATATTAAATATTCACCTTGGAGTTTGAGTGCCTGTTTAGCAGAAAGTACAGCTTCCCACGGTCTAGGCAGATCCAAAAACACTGCATCAGCTATGTGGTCAAGTCCAAACCCATCCATGCATACATCCCTATGGTTCACAGTGACGAGGTCAGACAACCCATGATCTCTGGAAGAGGAAAAAATCAGATGAAGAGCTACCATATTTTAAACAAAATGTTAAGTGAAAAAAAATCATCCATTATAGATACAGGCCTACAAATGTGATCATTTCCAATTTATATATAGTACAAGTAGACAGACACTGGATAGGGTGAGGGGGATGTTTCTTAAAGTAAACATATAATAATGTTTTTGATAAATATGACAGAACTTCAAAAGTTTCTAAAAATGTCTGCCATTTATGAGTTTAGATTCCAAATTCTGATTTTTAAGTCATTGTTTAAAAAAAATTTTTTTGTGTGTTTGGCTCATACAAATAAAAGTTAGGTAGCCAGATGAATGGTATTTTATGGCAACTCCATAGCACATGTACAGGAAATCAGGAATGGTGATCAACGAAGCAAAAACAAAATTCATGGTCATCAACGGAGATAAGAAGGACCCAGAACCAATCCGAGTGCCAGGTTATAACATGGAAAACTGTAACACACACATACCTAGGTGCAGCATTTAGCCAGGACAAAAAGAAACAAGCACAATTATTTTAGTTTGCCGCGTTCATACAAAAGAACAGAGACTTCCCATTTTGGATCAAGAGGAAAGTTTTGGACTCAGCTCACTTAAGTTTGATCCTCTATGGGTGCGAGACGTGGCTCTGCGCCGGGGCTAATGCAGCTAATGGACTGTATATGGCAAGCTATAAAATACTGCTAGGAGTGAGGATGTCCACGCCCAACAACCTGACACTGGCAGAACTTGGCATACCTGCGCTGACTGCAAGAGTTAAAAGAACTCAAAAACTATTCCTTTCAAGAATACTGTCCGAAATATGGGGGTTAATGGAGGACCCTTTTTTAACCATATGGGAACTATATAGGAATGCCCAAACTAAGGGCACTAGCTACCTGACTAATTTATTAAAAGAAACCAACAATTTATGTTCATTAGATGCTGAAAAATGAAAAACAGCTATTCAAAATCACAAAGGCAGCAAAAGTGTGGATTACGTAAANCATAACTTATAAAATAATGGTCCGATCATGCTGATTTTCGAACTTGATCTGCGTTTTAGTAAGATTGATTACTCCTGTGAGTTTCATGACAACAGGCCTATCAGTTTTCCTTGAAATGTGTTAACAGTGTTGCATATATGCTGAAAAGTGAAAAAACAGCATAAATTCTACAATAATGGCCCGATCATGCTGATTTTCAAACTTGACCTGCGTTTTATGAATATTCATCAGCTCTGTAAATATAAAGCCAAAAAGTAAAACTGTCTTCCACTTATGGTGTTAACGCTGAAAGTGCACGGCGACATGATCGGCGACGGCGACGGCGACGGCGACGACAGACGCAGGTGATGGCAATATGTACAGACACATCTGTGTCTGTACATAAAAACCCAAACTTTACTGTATACTCAATGTATACAGAGTCGGCAAAGGAGGAGAACATCTGATTATCTGCCCACAATTTGGCAATCGAAAAAGGCATGTGGTCCAGAACCCCTCGTGACCTAAGATTATGTACTTGTGATTCTATACAGGCCGAAGAACACATTCTTTGTGAATGTATATATTCAGCAGACTGTCGTCACAAGTTCACCAGTACTGATTTCACAAATTTAAATCATGTATACGCAACTTTTTGCATCTCAGATGTAACAAAATGTATTAGATTGTGCCTTGGGAAATACTAGATTTAGATTACATTTTTATTAACTTGTTTATATTCAATGTACGCAGTTGGTCAAATCCTATTTATAATCTGTAACACTGTATCATTTTGCCCAGACAATAATTATAAGAAATTAACTAACTAACTATACTTCTTTTTTGTCATTACTCCCTTAGAGGGGTGCAAGTAATAGTGACCTGCAGCTATTTAAAGTGGGATCAACAACTCCAACATATTTCTAGCACACCAGCCAAAATAAAACATACTAAGGGACTTGAACCATCCCCCACAACAAAGTCTTATGCTCAGGTGTTATTCTTAGATTTTGCTAAGGCTTTCGACAAGACTGATCCTAATATCTTAATGGAAAAATTAGAAATTCAAGGGATACCAGACTTTTTAAGACGTTGGATTTATTCCTTTCTTTGCGAACGGTTGTAACGCGTAAAATGCAGTAGCTTTAAATCTGCTTGGGTTCAGCTAGTGGGAGGAGTGCCTCAGGGCACTAAATAAGGTCCCATTCTATTCCTTGCAATGATCAATGACCTCAAAACTTGTTGTTCAGACATTAAGTTTGTTGATGATACCCCCATTTATGAAATTTGCAAATTTGGCAAAACACTGCATCTACCACAAGCAACAGATCAATTGGCTGACTGGGTCAAGCAAAACAAGATGAAACTTAATGTAAGGAAGACCAAGTCGATGGACATAAGTTTTACCAAGAACTGTAATCTTATAATACCAACATTCATGGAAATAGATGGTGAATGTGTAGAAAAGGTCAGAAAGTTTATACTTAAGTTTTATTTTAACCCCAGACTTTAAGTGGGCTGAACACAACCCAACCATGTATGCTAAGGCATGTTTAAAGCTCTTTTATCTCAGACAGCTAAAGAGGACAAAACTGGACATACAAGATTTATTAACTATCTACCATTCTGTAATAAGATTAGTTTTAGAACATGCGTGTCCAGTGTGGGGACCAGGTCTGACTGCTGAGCAATCTGCATGTCTAGAGTCAATTCAAAAGAGAGTCTTGAGGATTATTTGCCCTGGTCTCAGTTATTATGATGCCTTAAAAGTTTGCATCATCCACACCTTAGACAAATGTAGACATTTGCTGTATCAGAGGTTTCATACAAAATTGTGAAAAGTTGGGTCATTTATTGCTCGAAAGAAACACCCGTCCTTTACGAAACAACACCAAATTTTCACAACCAAAAGTGAAGACAGAATGTTTTAAAAATTCCTTTATTAATTATTGCCTTTTTAATTTGTAGTATTTTAGGAAGAATTTATTGTTTTATAATTTAAAGTTTATTGTCAATTTTCTTTTAAACATACTTTGTACAACTTTAACCTCAGGGTTGCAATTTTACCTAATAAAATTGTTCTTATTATTATGATTATTAATAACGGGCCTTTTTTTCTAGTTGGGATCTAAAATGCCCTCAAATTTTCTTGGAGATTAATATTATCATAAATTACTTGAATTCCTCCACTGCTTTCTCTGCACGTTGTTTGTGGAATTCGTATGTGTACAGGTGACCAGTGGGGGCAACTGCTCTGATAAGCGCATGGGACAATGAACCACTGCCAGTCCCTGAAACACAAGAAATGCATTATATGCTTTAATTTGTAAAATGAAATAACTAGTAGTGAACTTACTTAAAAAATTATGCATCATCACTCTTATTTGTTTTTTGATGGGTACTTTATGTGCTAATTAAGACAAGGAAGATACAGCTTTTGATAACTGTAAATGGTGATGATGTGGGGGCAGATTAGCATTTTGCTAAACCTCTCACCTCCTCTGCAGCTAGCGCGAAAATTCATGCACTAGCACTCCTATTGACGATTCTGATATGTACTGGCTGTGCTGTGATATGTGCCCAATGGACAGGCCCCACTAGGCTTTAGCATACAAAGTGAAAATCAACTAGAAGACCCAGTCTTTAAATAAATTCCGCTCATGCGCAGTGGGTTACTGGCGCTTGAAAACTTCGCGTCTTGACCAGAGTAGATTTGACCTGGTTTTCGTCTGTTTATAACGGGTGTATGATTTTACGATGGTCAAACTGGTAGATAGACAGTTCGATATTAGCAAAGTGACAGCTTTGTCGATGGGAAAACTGGTTGGCTTCACAGTAATGTATGTATTGAGGAGATGAGATGTAAAATAAAAATTTGAAAGCTGCTGCAATGGGGCTGGTTCGGCAACTGGTCCTCATTTCCCACTTTTTAAAGCCATTGCTTTCATGCGTAAGCACAGCCAGTACATATCAGAATTGTCAATAGGAGTGCTAACGCATGAATTTGTAGCGGTGCACTTCCTCAGCAATCCAGTACAACAACGCTGTGCTTTCTTTTTCATAAATTTAATAGGTTAACGATATATAAGCTACTAAGCAATGCACAAGCTGTTCAGCGTCTGCTACGCCGCCATGTTCCTTTTTCCCCGACGTTACCCCGGTTTATGCACACCGGCACTATATTTACCCCGTTACAAATTTTTCGTGCTACCCTAAAGCTTAACTTATTTGATAGTTGAACACTATTATTCAGTTATATATATACTTATATCTTTCATGTGTTACCAAACACAAATCAAAAAAGTAAACGGTAGTACTAGTTATATACTAGCTAGTGACCTGAGAGGGTGAGACTGAACGGACCTGATTCCACTACTACATTTCCAGGTACAAGGTCTAATTGCATTAAGACCATACTGATATCCGTTGAATATAGAATCTGCGTTCGATGAGGAAGATTAACTGTCCACAATTCTGGTGTAGGGTGTAGTACGTGCATATAGCCTTTAGTTGCATGTACTTTACTTCCAAACTTTATTCCTATCAAGTCCTCATGCTTGAGTGCCCCGTATTTTGTTTGAAATGTTTCTCCTTTTTTGACCGTCAGGGGGTACATATTTTCATGACCTATATGCAGGATAACTGTATCCCCTTCTTCAATTATTTCTTTGTATGCTGCAAAACTCATCTTTTGTGTTCTTAGCGCTTGGGTTACGCCTAAGTGTAATACAATCTTTGAAAGCACCGCTCATATGGGCGCAGCCATATTTGCTTCTAGTGCGCAGGCTCTCATGCGATTTTACCGTATGTCGTATTTCACCTTTCCTGTCGCAAAAAATAGAGTACTTTCATTTGGCTTATTCCCTTTTTTGGATATATTGTTTTTCTCCTCCAATCAAATGTGTGTTGCGAATCACATGACTCACGTGAGTTTCTCCAGCACGAAGAGTTGTCAGCGGTCTTCCGAACTAGCAGGTAGGATCTTTTAGTTTCTCCAGTTTTGCATAGCAAATTATTGAAAAAGATAATATTTGGAATACATCCAGAAACGTTTTTGCGTTTGCGCTAAAGTTTCATAGGTGTCTTATTTAGAAATTAGGTGAACTTGCACAAAGAAAGGTTCGTTGTTAGAGACGCCATGTCAACAGTCGACAATATTTTGCGTTTTGTGTAACTAATCGATGGCCTTTTAGACTATATGTTTTGTTGTTTGTTGATATTTACAATTAGTCTGCTGCATGGCATTTTCATAATTTGTATCTTGCTCAGTCGGATATTTGTCTGTTTGGTGTATTGTGCCCACCCAGAAAGTGTAGAGATCAGGCTTAGGCATCCTAGCTGCAGCTTGTAAGATAGGCGGTATCGAGGTAAAGAAAACGTGAAATTGGATTTTTAACGGACGCACGACGGTGCAACAGCAAGTTTTAAAAAAGCATCTGCAATTTATTTTTTTTGTTTTGAATAATCACTATTTTCGTTTTTAAAATTATGCTTAAGTTATTTGAGGGGTTTTATAGTTTTTAACATCTGAGTTGGGGAAGATTAGTGGCTTTGCAAGATATGTACACATACAAAATGTGACTGAAATTTTTAAAAAGCGCAGTAACAATAATGTAGCTTCAAATATATATTCTATCTGGGATTTTCCTGCTTAAATATTTATCAGAAAAATGAGCAATTCTCCCCTTCTCAGTAATCATTGCCAATCCACCCCATTTTGTACCATTTCCATTTAGGCAACTTAAGCTGCATTCACTTAAAAAATCTAAATTCTAAAAATCCATTGGCGGTATCTAGTGATCACGGTCTGTGCCCTGAATACCCCGCGGCATAATTAACTAGCAGCGCGGGCGAGTCGTTTCCAAAGCTGTAATTGATTCTCGGCTGCGCTCCGAGGAGATTCTGACGCCTGGACGCATGCGCAGTTGTATCTCTAAACTGGATTTCGACAGTTTGCACTCATATCTGTCATGTGTATATGGACCTTATCTTCTTCGTATTGTTGTTGCACAAAATCGACAAACACATTTTTCAAAGCAACCGTGACTGTCATTTTCTTTCTCTCTGCACATGCGTCTAGGCATCGGAATTTGCTCCGAGGGCAACCGAGATTTAATTACAGCTTTGGAAGTAACTCGCTCGCTCTGCTAGTTAATTAGGCCACAGGGTATTCAGGGCACGACCGTGATCACTAGAAACCGCCAATGGATTTTTAGGTTTTTAGAATTTAGATTTTTCATGTGAACGCAGCCTTAGTTATAAATGACTGACCATAATTAAGCCTGTCTTCCAGTACATTTTAGAAACAAATATTGAAATCAGGTATTTTTATTTGAGGGGTAATATTGTTTACAAGGTCTGAATTGGGAATGATAAGTAGTTTTACTGGATATATTTATATACATGGCCATAGAAAATGTGACTTTGAACATTTTGAAATGTGGGTAGCATACCCGTGAATGTTGCGAGTATAACATAGGACTGATATAAATATGAGTATGAATGAGAAATATATCTCAATTTTAAGAAAAGTTAATTTTATTCACCTAGGCTTACTATGTCCTTTTATAAAGACAATATCAAGGGAAAACAGCCAAAAGTTAATGTGAACATATTTAAATGTAACCAAAGGCTGTATTGATATGACTATTGTTTGCATTATGAGTCTAACTCAAGTATAAATACCTAATCACACTGATAAGATTGTTGAGCCATTGAAGTGGATATTATACTGTGACACAGCAGTACAGACCGTGCAGATTGTCACGTTTTGGGTGCATCATGTGAGAACTTGTACTAGTACATTTAATTTAAAATTTTGCTCTGTACACAAAATGCCGTTCTTAATATTTCTAATAAGATCATGGTAATAAATTTTAAGATCGTTGAATTAATTTTAATGTTTATTGTAAACCTTCAAAGAATTTTTTTTTTATATACTTAGTAATGTTACTTAACTGAATTTGGATATCTGTTATCTCTAGCCTTTGGGCAGACTGAAAGCTTTTTTTAGAGTTAAACATGCTGCACTACTTAAGCCCATGTATAAACAGTCACAAATGTAAACATTTAATCAAAGCAGGTTTTTTAATGTTGGGTTTGATAAGTCAAAACTAGCGCACTGGTAATCTGCTGTTAGTTAGTTCATCAAAGGGGCTATTTTATTATATAGACCTACCATATACTGATATAGAGGTCAGCTGCTGTGGAGTTATTTTTCACATGCACAAGATGAAAACATTCCCATAGCTAGTTTATTTAACATACCTTGTTGTATGCAGCTTAAGACTGTCTGTATGTAGTGAATTACTTCAGGTAGCTTATGGGAAGTTTGCCAGATTTGTAGAAGTTGAGCAAGGCAGTAGGGCATTTTTTAGGAATTTATTAGTCAAGAATGTGATTGCATAACAAGTGAAAGAGCTTGAGGCAATCTTAAAATGGTTTTAAATGGGAGAATTTGTATAGATCCAATTTGGCCGTTACAAATGCCTGTATCACTTTTCTACAGGTAATCATGTACCAATATTATAAAAACCATCTAATAATTCCAATGATGGGAAAATGTTTATTTGTATTATTGATACCTAAGGTATACCGTATGATGCAGTGTTGCACAATTATGTATTGTAGTCAGAGGGATCATGATACTATATTTGAATAAATTTCAATGTTAATGATTAGTACACAAAGCATTGTTTGTAAGAAAGAAAACTTGCTGTGGTTAGATATAAAGCTGGGGTAGTGCTAACACTCGCCAATTTAGCCAAGTGCTAAAACTGACTTAAATTGGCTAAACAAAAATAGGATTGATTTGACTTGTTTTAGTCAAATTTAAACCATTCTGCAGAAAAAGTAATGAAAAAGTAGTGATTTGGCCAAGTGAAAAAAATTGCTAGTGCTACCCCAGTAAAGCCTTAAGGTGTAGTTTTACATTCAGATTGAGTTGACAAAATTCAATACGAAAAATTAAAATTATTCCTCCTGATCTATATCATTCTTTATTATATTTTATAAATCCAACCTAAAATTATACTTATTTTTGAGATTTCAAGAAATACCTTTCTCGCCATATTTTATAGCAGTGACATCCAAACAAATCCCACCAACATGCCTATCTGCAACCTGAACCAGAAGAATTTTGATCCTGAGCAGGATTATCCTGAACTCAGCAAGCATAATAACTGGATGGCTAAATGCCTGACCAAAGAGATCTATGCGGCCAATAGAGACAAGGTCACCAAGTTTGGAGTCACTCTGGACCAATGTATCCAGACTGGTGTTGACAATCCAGGTACTGTACATGAGAGAGAGAGACTTAATCTCATGTTAAACAAAATGTTTTGATTAAGTAGTTTAAAATTTGACATTAGCTGCTTTTTTAAATGTTGTTTTGGATAAAGGATACCTTAAGTTCACTATTAGTCCAAATGTTACATAGTAAAGATTTAATTTTGGTTTTTATATATAATTAAAGAAAAAGGAATTTGATTATTAAGTAAAAACATTTATGTGCACAATTCAATTTTAGGCCATCCTTTCATCATGACTGTGGGTGCCACTGCAGGAGACGAGGAAAGCTATGAAACATTTGCTGACCTCTTTGACCCCATTATTGACAAACGTCATGGTGGCTATGCTAAGGATGCCAAGCACAAGACTGATCTCAACCCAGACCACCTTCAGGGCGGAGACGACTTGGACCCAAACTACGTTCTCAGCTCACGTGTGCGCACAGGTCGTAGCATTCGTGGCTACAGCTTACCACCAAACTGCACTCGTGCTGAGAGGCGTGCTGTGGAGCGAATTACTGTCGATGCTCTCAATGGCCTGGATGGAGAATTCAAGGGCAAATACTACCCACTGTCTGGCATGACTGAAGAGGAACAGGATAAGCTGATTGAAGACCATTTCCTGTTTGACAAACCAGTGTCTCCTCTTCTTACCTGTGCTGGTATGGCACGTGACTGGCCTGATGCCCGTGGTATCTGGTGAGTTTTTACTTTGTCTCATTAAAAGTGAAATTCAGATGGCATGGTCTTGTTTTTGTGCTATGAATATCATAAATGAAAATCTTCTTCTTTATTACAAGATGCACAAAACCACAGTTTGGTTGACATTTAAGATGCTTTGCTAACCATTCTTTTTAAAGGTTAAATACATGCAAACTGAAGCAAAACTTGAGGTAAAATATGTACATGTATTTCAGGCATAATGAAAACAAAGACTTCTTGGTCTGGGTGAATGAGGAGGACCACATCCGTGTCATCTCTATGGAGAAGGGAGGTAACATGAAGAAAGTCTTCAAGAGATTCTGTGATGGCCTGAACAAGGTAACTTAACACAATTGGGGAAAACATAAATAGTAATTATTGGAGAGAATCCACTTTCTTTAACTCTCAAATACACACTTTAGCCTTTGCCTTAATATGTAACCAATTGCAACTTCCAAAATGTTAAAACTGATTTGATCTCTCTTTTTAAATTAATTGTATATATTTATATTGTAACTAATTCATAGAATATATCATATAAGGATCAAAAGTTATGTCTAAGATGTTAATGATTTTCAAACCACAAGGTTGAGTCTCTCATGAAGAGCAAAGGCAAGGAGTACAGCTGGAACGAACATTTGGGCTACATCCTGACCTGCCCCAGCAACTTGGGAACTGGTCTGCGTGGTGGTGTCCATGTCAAGGTCCCTAACCTGTCCAAGGACTCTCGCTTTGATGACATTTTGGAGAAACTACGTCTTCAGAAACGTGGCACAGGTAAATTTGTTTTTCGTTCACTGCGTTGCGGTTCACATACTCCAGGCCTCCTGTTGTGGAAATGGTCCTTTTATTGTATTTCCATAGCCAATTATTAACCTTAAAACCTCGCCCAGTTTGCATTAACAAATTAACTGTTTAGCTTTTTTGCTTTCATTTTCTTATGGTCAGTTATCAATTAAAGGTGCTTCTTGATATTTCAGCTTGACAATAAATTGTTCACGTTGAGAGTTTGTACCTGTTTAAATGTGAATTCCAGTGTAGCAATATATATTTGGTGGTTTTCTTCAGATAGTTAATAGTTATTCATTCACAAATTATTTGAATTATCAAAAACTTTAGGTGGTGTAGACACTGCTGCTGTTGGAGGCACCTTTGATATCTCCAATGCCGACCGTTTGGGATACTCTGAGGTGGAGCTGTGCCAGTTTGTCATCGATGGCGTCAAGCTCCTGATAGAAATGGAAAAGAAGCTGGAGAAGAAGCAACCAATTGATGATTTGATCCCAAAAGAAAAAAAGAAGTAAATGGCAGTTTTTGGAAAAATTATGCATCTAAAAACAGATATGAACTATTTCTTGACTACTTGAATTAAAACGCTGGACTTTTCTTGACCAAGGCCGTTTTACTTTTGAAAACATTTACAGTAGCATTGATTGTGATAGTGAATTAAAACTGTGATGGAACTACTTTACAGACATCCTATTTATATTGTATGAAGACATTTTGGTGCCAAAATCTTAGCCATTGCAGGGCAGTGCACATGGTAGTTGTACATGGTAGTTTTAGGAAAACAGTGTTTTAACAGATGCCCTAAAAAGATCTTAACCTATTTATGAATCCAAATTTTACTATTTATTTCATACAATCTAATCCATATATACATGTTGATAGCAGTACCAAAATGCGTGAAAGACTTTTTCTCTCTGATTGCCAAATAAAAAGTGTGAAAGTGTTACTATCTTGATTGTTGGTTTGCTCTTGGTACTGATCAGAACTTCCACTGAAATCTACACACAGCACACACCTTACAGCAATTGGCTGCATAAATGTGCATTCCCTCTGCCACACAAGGAATTGTGTACAGTAAAATTGGAAACAGTAAATGTAAGGGAAAGATTGAACCTGCTTTAGTGGATGCAAATAGTAATACTGAAAAATGAACCTTTACTTTAAAAGTTGTGATTGAACAGATCTGCCAGAAGAGCCTGACCTTATTTGGTTTGCTCTATAATTTATAAAGCTGTGAAGAGGTGCAATGTCCAACTTGAAGATATTGAGTTTTGTCTAACCTATTTAGATACCAAGTAAATGCTATTATCAAATCAAGGAAACTGGGGTTTGCAGCTCGGTGTATTGATTGCTTGCTCATCCTTCAAATCGTACTTTATTAGAGATGAATTCACATTCTTAGCTGTATTATATAGACATATTCTCAGAATCATCTTGGGAGTGCTTGATAACAAAAAGCTTAAATCTCTAAGAATTGTATGTCACTTCAGATGATGCCCAAAAGGTGTGCTTTGAGTTCTACATCAAAGTGAGATTTTCAACTTTGACAAACATCAGCACAGCAATGGGGAAAGTAATTACTTTTTTATTAGAAGGTACACACTGAAAAAATTCAAGAATACTTAGTACTCCTGATATCATTTAAATAATTTTAGCGGAGATCACTTGGAAACATTGACTGGGTTCAGGGATGCATCATCCTGTTTGCTTATGTTACATAAAATTGAATTCAAGGGTTAGTTAGAATGATTTTAAACAAAACTTGGAATACTCAATCTAGTCCTTGAATGGCTAATAAATTTCACAGCAAGAAACAAAACCATTAAGACCGCAATCCAAGGCCCCAATCAGAATAGCGGGCTAACTAGTCTGAGGGTCAAATATGGCGACCCACTACAAAGCTTGCTGTCTAATCTGCTAACAAACACTGAATAGATATCCCATGGGGAAGTATTAATTCAGGTGGGTCGGCTATACTTGACCTTTGGACTAGCTAGTCCCCTATTCTGAATAATAACATCATCTCTTCTTCATATTTTGATTCACATTAGTGAAAATTATGGATATTAGCAATAGCTTTTGACTACCCCAGTATCACCACTTAAAGGGAAAGCTCTAAAATTGCAAAACCTCCCGTGCGATCAACGGAAGACAATGCACCTGCCATTAAGCTAAAGGCAGTATGTCAGAGATTTCCAAGAGCATGCCTATATGTCAGTTAATTTTTTTCTTAGCTTAACATTCTCTTTCTTTCACTCTGTGGTGATTACTGGATATTTTTCTAGAAAAAAAAATTAATTAAAATGGTTGATTTATTCTGAAACAAGTATATTGCACCTACCACAAGTAGAAACATGCTCAGGTAATTCAGGTAATCTTCAGATTCACTTAAATTTTTTTTTCTCATGGATGACTAATGCTATTTTATTTTTAAACTGATTCTCAGACTATGTGAGTGGAACATTTCACATTAACAAAAGTATAACAGTTTTATTATGTTTTTCACACACTTTTATGTATTAAAATTATCAGCTTGTGGAGTCCATCTATTGATATGCTATCCTATCCTGTTAATTAACATACATGGCAAGTTTGAAGAGCCGTTCAGTACAAGGAAATCTAGTACTTGAACCATATTAAAACAAGCAATAATTACACAGCCTCATGTGCAATACTGCTCAAAGAGCATTCATTAAGTAAAAGTAACATATTATAGAAATATGAGTGCAAGCAAATCTGTGCGAGAATTGGCACTTTGTGTGAGCAAAATATAGCTATTATGATTTACTGACATATGCAAGGAGTACAGTTAAGCACACTATACTTACTAAATTAAGTGATCATTTATTATGTCAAAAATAGTACCCAGAAATCATTGTAACCTGCAGTTCAGGTTTATCATTAGTTGGTGTAAAATAAGTTTGAAGAAACATACTTTGTAATGCATTTAAGAAAAGCTGACTTGAAACTATAGGTACTGCAGTGTCTTACAGTAGACCATAAGACAGGTGCATCGGGAACCAGCCACTTGGCAATTTCAAGGAAGTGGTGGGAAGTGATTACCTGGAATTGCTGCAGTCTTCAACCCAGCACTAAAACTTAACCCCTCAAAGAATCAAAAATAGTTGGGGAGTCTGTTCCCCCAATTGAAAACACATTTTCAATCTCAGATCTTGTTTTTCTTGCAATGTTGCTCCTTAGTTTCTTTGTAGCTGAAAGCAGGGGCAGATACAGTATTCTAAGGATTATTCTTTACAGACATATTCATGCTCTTCCAAACATTCAAATGAAAAATTTAAAAATCAAAAATTTGCATGTACAGTTCTTCGTATTAAATAATGGGGTCAGAATGGCTACTAGTCACTCAGAATTGATAGCTTTTGACAAAAAGAGGAAAGCAAATACCACCCTATGTAATTCCTATTGTGTTTGTGCTCGTGCACATACAGTGGTTCTATCAGCTTATACAATTTTGTAATACTCTTTCTCTCTTTTAGTGTTTTCTTTTTCATCACATTATATTTATCACCTAGCAGGTAAATACAGAACATAACAAGTGTCTCGTATCAATCTCCCTCTTCCACTTGAAGATTATATTTTTGTCTACTTGAAACATTTTGTCTGACATGATTCAAGGTACTTAAAAATTTTACTGTAAAAAACAAGCAAATAAATGAAAACTGATAGTAGATAACCCCTGGATTGCTAAGGTTTCTTGTGTATTGTAAGTGATCATACATCATGCTAACGGAACCTGTGAAAGAAGTAATGCTTGCTTCTACATAGAATTCTGAATAGTAATCAGTATTTTGCAAGAAGGGTGAGAGGTTAATTGTCAATTGATTTCAGGTTATGTTATATATGGCTGATTTGTAATTGATGTACACATCTGTGTAACTTGCCTCCATATCTGTCATTATGAGTAACCTCAAAAGTTCACATTTAATTCTATTTTAATAAGTACTTTAAAAAATTCTTTTACATGAAGCAACATCACCCATTTGCTGTGAAAGTGTGAAAATCAAAGATATCGTTAATGCTACCTGCAACTTACACAAACAGAACTAAATTATTTTTTCACGTGTGATATTAACTGTCCTACTAAAATATTTTTGAATATGCTTGTAGTTTGTCACTTGTGTTTTTGAAAGAAATGTTCACTTAAGATCAAAGTGACATATCTGAACTCTTCTCTGACCATCAAAACTATTAATTAAAGAGATGGCCACACTATTTCGTAAAAAATTTACAGGGTATGTGTACTACTCATATGAATAAGATTCATTGCTGTCTATAAAGATATGTATTTAATCTTGAATTGATTTCTTTTAACTTAATATGCTAGCCTGGACTAGTTGGTCAAGGATCATTGAATCAGTTATAAGATTCATTGACCAAGGGAAATCTTCTGAGATAGCAAGAAAATGAGGCTGCCAGCAGTGAGTGGCATACCCTGGTACAGAATTAGATAAATGTGGAAGGATCTGGACATGGTGGTGCTAAGTTTTTTTACAAAAAAAATGAGTCTTTGCACTGGGAATGCCACCATAAAAGAGATTATTAAAAAATACACACTTAAGAAAACAATATTGAACAACTTTGAATATTGGAACGGATTCATTAACCATTGGAAAGTATGGGAAAATTGTCGTTTACCCCAGGAAAATCTGTTTTATGGCACTTTTCCTGCCCTTTAAACCATGTGACAATTTGGCTATCTCTGATGATTCCCATTCCCATCCATTCAAAATACTATATTGTAGACATGCTTTCAGATTCTTTAAATATCTGTAATTCTCAGCCATATATATATATATATATATATATATATATATATATATATATTTTTTTTTTTTTTTTTTTTTTTTTTTTTTTTTGGCAATTTCTCATATGATTCCCATTGCAACTAGTGGCAGAACTAGTTGATATACAGTCAGAATTTTTGTCACAAAGATGAGTCTCAGACAACCTTTCAAGTAAGTTTTTTTAATAGGGAAAACATTGTGACAGCCCCTAACATGTATATAAAACAATAACAGAAAAAATATTAATTAAAACTTGAAAAATAGTAATCACAACAAGATTGATCTCCATTTCTTATCACAGTCTGGTAGAAGTATCATCTCAAGTTCAATCTCGAGTTCAAATGCCAGCTGTAAATGAGTGGAGGGCAGGTTGTGAAACAAACCATAAATGAAACCATCATGGTAATGACGCACAAGTGAAGCCTAATCTGTTTATTTTCATCCTGGATAGTCTACCTTTCATGATTTACCTTCTCTATTATATCATTATTTCAGATAAATCAGTCCTAGCATTTTAGACTTGAGTCCATAATAGCTTTCATTTCCAGTATCTAGAATCAATAAGTAAAAAAAGGAAAAAATTCTTACCGTTGCTCATTTGTCTTTAAGACTTTTTTCTTTTGTTATTTTCTGAATTATTTACAAAGGCATTCTCAACAAGTCAAACAAATCTATGGCATCATTTTGTCACTTTTTGAAAAACCAATTGAGCTCTAACTCACTTAGGTCAGAGAGATGTAAATGAGAAATGAAATAATAATCGAACCATATTTTGGAGAGGAGATGTGAAAATTCATATCATTTTATGACTAAGAAAGACAAATTTGCAAATAATCTACTAACACTCAATGTTAAACAAATTACATACCTTAATGTCAAACCTAATACTTTACTTGCAATTTGCTAACGCACACCTGATACACTGACAAATGCCATGTTCTGCTTTAAAAGTCATCCACATAAATTTGGTTACAAATTTGTCCCAGCTCATATGATTGCAATTTCTGAGAAACATGACAGAACTAATCTTAATTTTTAATGATACGGAGCACTATATCTTTAACATCTTACAAGCTTTAATAAAGGAAAAGAAAAAGCAAAGATGGAAAAAAAAAACAAAGAATGAAACTTTGAAAGAAAATAAATCCTCAGTAATTATCATATTTAACATCCCTCTTCAGAGAAAGCCGTAACATAGCAGGCATTGCAAAACAGATGGAGAGAAATGTGATCTCTGCAGAACATTTCTGCAGTTTTTTTTTCTTTTGGGGGTGTACATGAACTTTTGGCACTAACACTGTGCTTTCACAGGAAGAGAGATGCAAGCTATTAACCTAGGGATGATTTCTTGCTGGGTGTCTGTCAGTAATTTTATAAGTAGCCATATCATGAGGAATGAACTTTCAGAGTTCAGATGATGTCAAGTGAGAATGGTTCCTGGTATCCGATCTTGAATACATATACTGTATGATATGTGTCAGAAATTACATAATATAAAACCAATCACAGATATATCAGTTATGTAATTAATATATTGCAAGTCAGCTGGGCTTAGATTCTCATTACTGATCGACATTCTCCCAAATTTGCTCCAAGTTTCAGAGTTTTTAAATAATGTTTTCTTGGGTATTACTAGATGAACATTGATATGGGAAATAAAATTAATGTAGCTTACTCAATCATGCTGATTTTTCAAGCAACAAGAAGTTGTTACCCAAGAGACAAAATATTGGCAGTAAGGCAGAAATCTTGAGAAGGCTAATATCAATTTTTCCTAAGTTGTAATAAACAATGGGAGATGCAAGGATAATTTTGAGTTAAATCGTTCATTAGCTTGGTATTTGTATACAAATAAAACTTATTAGACACAAGCTGAGAATTTTTTTCTCACCATAAGTTAGCTTGTGTTCAACCTGGTACATGTAGTAATCCTTCATCAGACTGATGTGAGAAGGTGTTGTTATTCACTGACCACTGAGTGGTATAGAGGCCATTTTTTACTCAAGTCAGTCTGGTGTAGGCCCACAAGCAGGTCGGCCACAAGCTAAAGTATGCATGAGGAAAAATTTAATTCCTAGCTTGAGTCAAATAGTTATTATTGTATTATTCTAATATGTTTAATGTTTTTCATTAAAATTTCAAAAGAAGCATATCACACCAAAAACTGAATGGAAAACTACCAAGAGTTTTGGCCTGGGTCTGTAAAAAATCTTAAGTGGCATATGATGGTAAATGCATTACTTACATTCCATTCTTAAAATATTATTTACTATTTAAATACTATTAGTTACCATTTCAGAAGTTGGATGAATAAGTTTAGTATTTATCATTTCAAAAGAGAATACTGTTCCAAATTCTGAATGTTGGGCTGAACAGGTACTTGCATTTGTTAAAGGTTAGGAGGATATGATGGTAATTGAACACATGTAGCACAGTGACTGTAAACCACTAGTTCCTCCTTGTGGTAGTAGGACTAAAATAGATAAATGAAAAAATGAACTGACAAATAGGGAGATATAACATTGGTTCACCAAACCATCAATGTGAAGATATGAAACTAAACTTGGAGCATAATTTTAGCTTACTGACCATGGGATATCTGTGCAATGGTGCAGAGGAATTAGTTTGAACCTTGAAAAAAACAAGTTCAATATGCCAATTAATCAACTAAACTCCTCAGGTGTACCAGTATAGAACTCTTTTTTATTCTTGACAACCACCAGCAGCTGCTTTATCATATGTCATGCAAAGATCATTCCTCTTCATCATATTAAAAACAGAAAAATACACAGTCCAGACTTGTGCAATGCATCAATCTCTCCCAACTTAAGGGTCTGCTCACAATATATGCCCAGCTTGAGAATTAATTTCTTACATCAGTCAGTACTTCCAAATTGTTATCATATGGAAAGGGAAGTTGCTTGCTGCTATAATGTCCATATATATATCATTAATTATGACAGATTGCTTTTATATACAACAGAACTACTATAACTCTGCCATCAAGTGGGTGTGAACACAACCAGTGGTCAATGACTTAAACTGATCTTCACCATGCATTTCTCCCGAGCTTAATATATGAGTAAGATATATAAACCTTAATTTAATTGACTTTGGGAAATCTATTGGTACCAGTACACTGAGTACATGACTCTGAATGCCAGTCCAACTCATCACTGACATTTTCATGCTGTTTTAGGTATGAAAGGAAAACAAACAGCTACCAGACCAGAAAACTTTTAACACTGAAGTGCATATGGCCTGCCCTAATAATATTAAGCAATAGCTTAACTGTCTTCCCATTACGCAAGCTTGTATATAATTGATATTTATTGTTCGAAATAGCTCGGTTATGCCAGGATCAGTTTATGTTAACTGTTACTGAATTGGAAGATAGGAGTCTTGAGCTGACCGTGACTGAGCGTTTGTTTTTTGGTTTTAACATATATACATTTAAAGTAACTGAATAAACTGATAATTACCATGGCATAAGGTGGCTTCTGCAAAAAAATAATATTATGTAAGAGGTTAGAAGGGTTCCATTAACCTAACTTCAGGAAATATTACATTGGTACATACATTGTGAAAGAGGTGGTATCAGATGTTTCTGTACTTCTATTTCTGATTCATAATGGCTCTTGAGATACTTGCCATGTATGCAATGGTGCTCCTCTGAGAGCTCAATGCAATATTTATGGGCTCCACCCCTTCTGGATTATACTCTGACCTGCCAGATTTGTACATTGTACATCCTCATTATTTCTAGATCTCCGCTGGAAGATAATATCTTTTGAAGACATCCCTGGCATGTATGCACCACATCCACTAATGTGGGGGTAACTGTGCAGTTTACACTAACCCCCGCTGTCCAAAGCTGCATGGGGTAAAGGAAACTTGAATACTGCACAGAGATATCTTAATTAAGTCTCTCCACGCTCGAAATTTGCCTCTGCAATGAAGAGCAAGCAAAATTTATAACCTTAAAAATCTTTTTTTTTTTTTAATACAAAAAATGGAGATCGATCAGGATTTTCATTGAAATAATTTATTGAAGGTATGTACTGCAGTGAAGTCCATTTTATTTTCCATAAACATTATATTGCACATGAATTTATACATTTTCATGGCACAACATGAAAGTAAAAAATCACCCTACCTGTCATACCCAAGATATTTGACATCCACTGCTTTTACATAACTACCGCCGATAATTAGATCTGGGTCTTTCAGTTTTCTACTTTCCATTGTGTAATTGTGTGAAAAGTTGAAAACTTGACATCTTTTTGTCACAAGAAAATATTATTAAACAAACAGACAAAGAGTGTTATTTTCAATTTTTTGCCAGGTTATAAATATGAGCATGATGACTTCTGTACACCAGGTCAAGTATTCCCTGGCCAAGCTGGGTTGCTCTCACCCCTAGACACTGGCAACTCACCTGTCTACTGTCAGCATTTTTTGAGATCCTTATTACATCCTCCATAACATTTATCTGTATCAAAAAAACTTAGAAAGATGGACAACCAAATAGCCTGGCTACTGCGTAAGAAACTAAACTAAACAGAACCCCCATGCTTGACACAGCCAGTTATAACAAAATTAATTTTGTTTGGTTCAAAAAGTTGGAAGCGACTTGTTAAAGGGAGTAAAATCCCCAGTAGCACAAATACATTTTAGAACAAGTCTATGAGTTTTGATAATGACATGTGTAACACACCAAGTAAAAAGGACCCAAGTTTCCTGTGTTGTCTGAAACTTCAGGTGGGTTTCTCCCTCACTTGCTTTTTAACCACTATACCTACAGGTATGTTAAGCAGTTAGGCCTACTTTTATATAGAGTAACATAAAGCAACCCAAGTGGTTCCCAGCATATTGCCAGTTTCAATCTGCAAAAGGTTGCTTTGAAAAGCATTGGCATAACATTTAGATTAGAGCCAAGTAACTGTCTTAATGTTACCCTGTGACTATAGTACCATATGATGACTTGTAATTGGGCACATCTTATTCCTTAGAGTATAGTAGGAATCCATTCAGGAAAGTGTTGAAACATAACCTGACATGTTATTTGAGGTGTAATTCTCTAATACTGTTGCATATGTACAGAGAGCACACTAGACAGCTATAATTACATAACAAGACAAAAAAATATGCACAAAGAACTATAAGGAGGAAAACTGCAAAGCCAAATGAGATAATGAACTTGTTTTTGTAAGAAATGACGGACTAACAAATAATTATGTTTTGATGCAAGGCAAATTTGGCATGAGGCCAAAATTGATGAAAAGAAAAGGCCAGAGGAATAAATCATGTCATGCTAAATGGGGAATATCTCCAGCTTACCCAAAAGCTATGATACTCACTGTTGCAACTTGCATATGTCTCATTACACAACATACTCTCACCATTCCAGGATTTTTATACATACATGTACAGAGTGTCTGTATATGTATTTGAAATTGAAAAATATATCATGCCACATATCATGAAAGACGAGCACTACATACGATTGCATGAGACATGTTATTCAATTTCTATCTTGCTAAGTGTTATTTGGTTTCTATCATGCACAATGTTATTCAATTGCGATTCTTTTCTAATTTCCTTCTATGAAATTTGTGGGTTATGTGTTACTGAAGTGTACATGTGGAGAAACCTGACACACATCTTCTCATGTTTGCCTCTAACATTGAAGACAAAGTTAATCAAGCATGATAAAACTGTTGAAATATCTTATTCCATTGGGTTCAAGATAATTTTACATAGAAATCACCTCCCTTTTTTGTGAGATGAACTGAAAGCTGCAGACCTCACCTATCACGCAACAAAATCAGTTTTTTAGCGAAAAATTATTTGAAGGTTGAATACCGATATGAACTATGCACACTGTTAATAGCCTGTATTTTTTCTTTCATTTAAAGTATTGATTATCTTTGGAGTTCCAAGTTATGACATTATTTCTACACAGTGTGCTACAAAACCTCAGATATACAAAGAAACACAAATTAGGTTGATAAAGGACATTGCAATAGCATCATTAAGATACCACACTATAGCAGGTGATACCAGTTGTGATATATGGTGGGCTATATTAATGATTGATCTTGTTCAATCTTGCTACAGGTGCCATACCAAACGTCCATGAAAAAAAGATTGCTATATCTAGACATTGGTTTATTTTTTACATAAAGTAACCATAGGTAAGTTCACTATCAAAAACTCTAAACTTATTTTCTCTCTTGTGGAATTTATTGTCTAGTTTTCTCAATAAACAAATAAATAAATAAACAAATAAATACTTTAAAGGATTGAGTTTTCTTTTGCATAAATAAAAACACCTAAAATAAAAATATGCTTAAAGAGGATAGTTGACCACTTGTTTATTAGTGCTAATATAAACATTAACAGATTTTTAGCAATCCAGACAAATATGCCACATGAAGAAAACATGCAAAATAATTTTAAGTAGTATATTGAAAATGCTGCCATATTATAAGAGGCATACATTTAGGTCTTTAAATTCATAAAAACAATTCAAATATCAAATGAAGTCATTTTACAGAGAGTACACAAACACAAATGATATACTCAAATTACTTTTATCTGCTCATTGTAATGTTAATCCACTGCTTTTTTGTATATGAAAAACATCTTTAAAAGAAAATGACTACAATATATTCATAATTATTATCATTGACAGTGAACTTTTTCATATATCTTGTTCACATACAATACTAATTCCATATCAACCTTATCCTATATCCTACAGTATACTGTAATCTCTAAATCTTTTTACAGCTAGATTAATTTCTATTATTTATGGGAAGAAAAACATTAAACACAAATTTTCTTTTTATCTAAAAGGCTCTATCTGTCCCCAATAATACTGAATTTATCTGGTGTACAGTAAGCTTGGGGCCATCAAAATTTCTAAGAAAACAGTACATAATAGCAATCCACTTTCACTCTGAGAATTCTGAGAAGACATTTAGGCCAAGTCTTATTATAATAAGTGAAACACTGCAAGTAATTAAACAAAAACAAAATTATGTATCAAAATTTCAAAAAAAAAAAAATAATAATAATAATAATAATAATAAATAAATAAATAAATAAAAAAAAATAAAATAAAATTTTTTAGACCAAGCCAAAGAAAATATATTTAGAAGTATAAATGAGATAATTCCATTTCTTATTATATCAAAGTATTAGGTCAAGATTTAATGTTTTTCATCTGAGAACCTTTTCAAACAAAAGGACTTAAACTGACTGTTAAACCCACTATCAAAAGATGGCATTCACAATACTTCAAACACTTTCACTTCATGTATTTTCATCTACAATGAAATAACTTCATCAGTCATTGGAGACATGATTTTTAACAATTAATTAGCATCATTACCCTTTTTTGTTTCAACATTAATCAAGTCATATTATGTATACTTTCTTTTCTGAAAATCCATTCATATTATCAGTATCAATAGAAAGCAGATTACTCATTCTTGAGAATCTTTATAAAATCTCCCACTGAAGAATTCCGGCATCCTTCCCTCCAGTTGAAAGCAGACGACTATCATCATGAAGGAAGCGGACAGCAGTCACATGACTACTATGGCCACCATAAGCCCGATGCCCAGCCTAGAACAATAGAATGACAGATTCAAAGACTGTATCTATGCAAAGAGATATAGTCATTAGAAATTGTACCTCTTAATTCAATACATTTACCTGAAAGGTGACCATTTCCTTCATACTGAGGTTATTTGAAATACCTCAAAATCCCTTATAAAAATTTATAAAAACGTTTGAAGATTACATAATCACAATTACCAATATGTTCTATTCAATTTGTGGAGATCGAACAGAAAATATGCAACATAAGCCCAATTTCATACAAAAAACTGCACCTCATTTATTTATAGGCTATGGTGAACAAAATACACAGTTTCGCACCAACCAAAATTTCAGCACCAGTCAAATTTTCAAAAGAACTTTAAAAACACTCTCACCTCAATGTGTGTTGAAGGGTATCTGTAGAGGTTCACTTTCCCATAGTCATCAGCACTAGCCAGGAGATCTGCCTTGTGAGCACGACTGCTGCCATTGACATCCGTACCGTCAGCTCCCTCTGGCCAGATGCCTGAAATACAACAGTTTACACACACATAACTATATACCATGGGGGCACTGAAGCCATATAAATATAAAAGGTACCTCCATCTAAAATTCTATATTGTGCAAAGAAACAAAAAAAGTTATTCATTTATCAGTAGTAAAACATTCAAATATTGACAATGAAATATAGCAGCAATTTTAGTCTCATGATTGCAGCACCAGTGCATATCTGCAGACAAATATCCAAAATGTCAATTTTACACCACAGATTTAAAGACACCATAAATCAGACCATGCCATCAACCAGCAATAAAGAAGTCAACTTTGATAAAATAACTAAAGTATCACTAAGAAATACACTCAGGAAATATATTCAGTCTTTAAGAGTGAAGACCCAAATCAATATCCTACCTTGCAATGAAGTATTTAACAGATAGATAGTCTTTTTATCTTACCTTAAAAAATCTTTTGAAATATCTGTTCCATGTCACATATTAACCTTTACATTTCAATGCCGTACTCACCACAAGTATTGAAGCTAATGGTACAGTAAGAAGTGGCCCACTGTACGTCTCTCATACTACTTGAAGCTGTGATTTGTTTGCAACTGGATGCATTCCCTGTGAAACAATTAAATCATAATACATAACTTATCAAATGATATATTTATATTCCATGTGTGAAATTAAAATTTTTTGAAGTTACATAATTCTACTTTATATATTTCAGTCATTTTATGCAACCCTTTTGTAAAAAATAACAAAAGTTTGGTGCCTAATACAGTTTTCAGACTATTTTCCATCAGCAAATGGAGAAAGAATTCCTAAATCTACATGTATGTGCGTGCGCTATTGGGATCATCATAATAATCATAGCATTAAGCAAGGCTGTTGGCACTGTGTAATGTAATCTGAGATAAGAATTTATTTGACCTTTGTGGGATTCACTTAATAAGTCTACCGATATTTCTGACCCAATCTCCATTCACATTCTGCCAATGTGAAAGTACGAGAACCTCAACTTACAGAAAAGTAGTTCATAATCTCCTGAGTTTGACTGAATATACTGACTGTCTGCAGACCAGTCTAGGTGAGTCACAAAACTGGAGTGACCCTGTAATCAAGAGGAAAGTTCAAAATACAATCTAATACTAAAATACAAAACTGAATACACAATAAGCTGAATATCACTGAGCTAGTAAATAGTTAACTTTTAGTTGAATCAAGAAACAGTCTTCCAGATGACAAATTTATTTTTCTAAAAAATTATTTTTTATTTTTTTTCTTTAAAATGTAAGCAATTACTGACATGTCCCCTAAGGGGCACTAAAGACTTCTAGAATGCCTTACTGCAGGATAATTATAAAATAGCTGTATGTACAGTAATGCTACTGTGCAGACACACAAATTGAAAGTTAATGAAATATTGCACGCAAACACCCCATATCCCATGACACTCAGCTTTGCCAAAATTTGCACATGCATAGCTGGCTCGTTGGTCTAGGGGTACGATTCTTGCTTTGGGTGCGAGAGGTCCCAGGTTCAAATCCCGAATGAGCCCAATCTATTTACTTTTAAATCTATGTTTTCTGCATACCTGGCATTTACCAACGCGTGAATATTTTTTCCCTTCCTCATCAACACTATAAACATAAATGTGATTGTCCCTGGAGCCCAGTGCCAAGTACTTTCCGTCTGAAATATAAAATTATTACTCAGTGCCTCACTATAGACAGTTTTTTTCATCTTATTAACAATATAATAACATCTGTAAACAGCAAGAATCAGCCCTAAATAATATGCAGAATACGCATAGATTTGGAAACTCTGCAGACCACGTTATGCTCACAAACATACGTAAACTGACTGTCAATCCTTTTGCTAGGCCTACGATTCATTTTTTTCAAAACACACTCACACAAGTCATACCTGGTGAATACTCCGCACACTCAATCTGTTCATTGCCATCAGTGTGAGAATAGACAGGTTCTCTAGAAGTGAGGTCCAGCACCAGCCACTTGGCAGTCTGTGTCCCTATAGCCACCACCTGGGCATCAGGGTGAAAACATGCACAGTGGGCAGGGACCTGGTATAGAAAAAAAAAGCAATATATAATATAATGCAAACCCCCCAAAATTTTATTTGCATGTTGTTCACCAGAAGCAAACAGTATCTCATGACCCAGAGAACTTCCACCTAAATCAGAAACAGACTAGGGAAGTACTCATGTAGTTATAAAACATCTATAGCCATATCATTTCTGTTTAATGTACATAAGAAACTCAACACAGTTACATGATCCTCACCTCCAATTCCTTGCTCCAAACAGCAGAATGAGACAGTGCGTCCCAGAGGAACACCTTCTTATCATAGGCGCAGGTCAGGAACTGGTGCTGATTAGGGTGGACTGCCAACCCCCACAGTTCATCAACATGACCCTGGGGACAGAATAATCATGTCAGGGGTTAGTTTGCTGTATAAAGATATGTTAACGAAATGTTTAACCCTTATTTAAAACTTTAAAAAATTATCATATAGACTTGTCAGGAAAAAAATACCATACCTGTACTATAGGGTTGAAGTTGAGTTCCAGTGTCCCTTGTAGTATGACATTCCTGGTAGAGCCAACTACAATCATATTCCCCTTGCCCTGGGTCAGTGTGCGCACAGCACCATAGTGTTCTGGGATCTAGGAGGATAATCATTGAAGGAACTGAATATGACATTATATTAACACCAAGGCTATGTTATAAAATATATTCTTTACAATATCAAACATTTAAAACTACTTTCTGAAAAACTGAACTGTCAGTTGAATTGTCAACTCAATATATTCAAGAATTACAAGTTTGACTTTTTTATCCATATAAATCATAACTTCAATTAACTTAAAATGACCACAAAATTCACATAGCATTCACATATACTGCCAATGAGAAATACAAATTCACCATCCCTTAGAAGAATGAATAAATGTCATGTTACATTCAACAACATAGTCAGAATCTTAATGTCATCTCACCAGGCTGGATCAACTTATTATAAAAATATCATCATTCAAAACTTTAACCTTTGTAAATGCATGTCCACTTGCACACAACACACACACACACACACATAGAATCCCCTTATAAACTTACCTCCACCTCTCCAGTCTGAGTCAAGCCAGTGGCATCCCACTGTACAATTCTCCTGTCCTTGCCACCACCAGATAGCAGATGGCCATCCTTGGTGAACAGCAGGGAGAAGATACCACCTTCATGTACCCCTGTCAGGGCCTTGGAGATCTTGTTGGTGCCTGGTGGAATTAATATACATTAATATGGCAACTGGTATATGTAAAATCATATGACCAGGTACTTCACTTCACTATAAAGCTCTGCAGACATAATTGTGGAGAACTTATGTTACATTATACCTATTATATACTCACCTCTTGGCCAAATGAATATATTTCCATTAGAATCTCCAGTAAAGACATCTCCATTATCAGCAATAGCCAGACAAAGTACAAACTTGGGTTTCTCGTGTTTCTGTGAAATTCAAACACCAATATGATATTAAACTTTTAATCAGGTACAAAGAACTCGAGGCTAAAATATTCTTTTTCAACCTCCCCCCACATATATTAATCCATTTTTCTTGCATAAAACAGCTCCCTTCAATGACAGGTGTCTCCCTTTTACAAAAAACATACTCCACGTATATCATGACTAAGTTAAAATCATTTTTCAAGAAATAAGGCCCATTAACAATGTTAACAATGCTTACTCAAACCAGACAAAACCTCACTGGCATCCTCAGACCACCAGCTTAGATTACATGAGATTTCAACTTTCAAAGCACAAAGTAATGGAGGGGTCCCTAATGTGATATGTTTGTTATATATATCAAACTCATTTCTGTCAAAGCAAGTTCTTTTGTGAGCAAGGTTTTTATTTACCTCAAAGAGCCCCAGTTTCTTGCCCAGGGTGCCACCTTCCAGTGTCCAGAATGTGATCTGATTCTTACCACAAGTAATGATGGTATTGGCATCCAGTGGATGGAACTCTGAGGCCACAACAGGCTCTGTAGAACTCTGTAATCCATTGTAAAACATGATTTGTACAATCTTTTCCATATTTTATATATTTCACAGATATTAATTCACAAATCATCAGTTGGCTTTTATACATTTACATTATGGGTATGTTTATTCGTTTTTGTTATGAGTTGAAAATAGGTTTATGGTTTGAAGTTTGAACCAATTTAAAGCTAGCTGTAAGTTTGTTATCTTTTTTCTTAACCTAATTTTGGAATACCGATAAGAGCTTATGAATGGTGCTGTTGAAAAAAATGAATTTCTCCATATTTGCCTTGGTCTCTGTAATCTTGTGTCCTTTCTCTCCTTTCTGCCACTCCCACACTGATAGAGTATGCTCATTGCCCTCATCCACAGCACACAGCAGCTGTCCACCATCCTGCAGTGTCAAGGTGAGCAAATGTACCATAGATTTAATCATTCCTGCTGTCCTTACAATACATAGTGATGTTCATTTTCATTAAAAAATTTGAGAACAATTTTGATCATTGCTTTGATACGACAAAGCTCAAACCTGTATCGCTTAAAATACCCAAGCCATCACTGGATAAATAGAGGTGTATGCACTGAAATATCAAATGACATGTCATTCTATTTTTTTAAGACAAGAATTTGCAAAAATTGCGGAGATTACCTGTGTTCAAAAAGATCTGAATGCATGTTCAGTATACAGTATTTTGAATGGATGGGAATGGGAATCATCTGAGATAGGCAAAAAAAAAAAAAAAAAAAAAAAAAAACTCCCCACTTGGCATAAAAATCAAAGTATATTTACAGGAGAATGAGGTAAGAAGTAATGGCAAACTAGTGAGTGAGGCTATAAATGAGTAAAAGCTGACAGAATTTTTTCATAGGTATTTTTTGGGTTGATTTTTCTTGAAAGGACAAAGCGTAAGATTTTTAACGCACATTTTTTTACTTAAAAATACATAAACTGCTTCTTGTTGAACTCATTTGAGAGCAAGTAATATTTTAAAAATAATTTTAACAGATAAATGCCATGAATATAAGTCATCAAAAAATAATCTACTTCATCACCTGCTGACACACCTGGCCACCTATCTGCCATCTGACACAATTTTGAATTGCACAAAACCTGGCAGTTGGTGCTGGAAGTGATTGTTAACTTGACAATGGCTTTTAAGGGAAAGGCAATAAACAATCAAAATGTTTTACTGAGTTATTACAACAATCAATTGGCCTAGTTCATATTTTTGTCAAACTACCCTTGCTTGCAATTGAGTCAGATGAACTTACTGCCTTTGAGAATCCAATAGAGCATACTGCTCTATCAAAGTCTCCTCCCAGACCCAAGACATGGAGAGTTTGCAGGCTGACAGAGTTCCAAATCCGGACATGAGGCTGAAACAATAGAAATAGCATGGTAAAATATGAAAGCTATTTAGGCAAGTCATCAGGTAGGACAGGCAGCATAAACCTTACAGTGAGTTTAATGAATCTAAGAACGAATGACACAAAGAAAATAATAAGAAATCAATATGTGAAGGGAGGTTTAATTATACAAATACAAAGGATATGGTCGTTCGTAGAACTAGTCTAGCAAAATATTAGCAATCTAATGAAATCAGTATCATGCTAGCCTACAGCGTTTAACTAATTTTTTTTCAAATTTTTTTGTATGCTACCTGCTCCACCGAGTAGTGGAATGGTTTCGCAGAAACCATGCATCAGAAAAAATCAAACAGGATCACAGTATATTCAAGTAAAACCAACTGAAGGCTCTCTACACAAAGAAAACCAATACAAAAGAGTATGATTGAGGTGGAGATAACGGAGAAAAACCATAACAGCATTTCCAAACTTGGAATTGTAATGCACCATTTTTGTATTCATCCAGGTATGTAGAATATGATACATTTTTAATGAAATTTAAAATGAAATCATTATGAATAAAAACACTATCAATCTACATTGAAATTAAATTTCCTAAAGAATTTGTTTCATGCAATCTCTGAAGGGTGAACAATGCTGTAAAATAATAAATTCAAATAGAACATACCACCAAGATATCAAAAAAAAAAATTGCTAATGTAAGAAATCATAACAATAATTTTTAAGAAATTAAGCAACATTCCGCAATCAAGAAAGCAAAATAGTCATGCACTTTTAACAAAAATAAAATTAAAAAAATATTTTACCAAAATGGCCTCCTTTAAAACCTCCATCAAGAAAAGAAATAACATGAAAGAAAAGGAACCCTTGAAAAAATAAGATAAAGCAAACCAAACTCACCAAATGATCAGGAGCAGTGCTTGGGTCGCCTTTTCCATGTTGGGCGCTCTTAGGCTGCAGGTAGGGGGAACACAAAGCAAATCAGCACCAACAAACCAACAACCAACCAGTCAAATAATACACACATTATGAAATGCCACTGCATTTTTTATTATCAACATTCATAATGATTTCTTATGAGCAAGAAGGAACAAGAAAAGTTTGGTATTTGTATTGTATGCAAAACCTTGAATATAATGCATAATGTGTGCATAGTTTATAATCGAGTCTGCTATACAAATGTTAATGTTAAATTTGTATCTGAATCATGTAAACCTAAATGTTGGTTATAACACAATGGCATTTCAGAAGTTTAAGCAGTCTAACAAAATCAAGAAAAGAACTGGTGTAATGGGTATTATCACTTCAATGCAGAGATACAATATAAACAGCAAAAATTATATATTTCCAAATCAAAATAAAAAGACCAAGTATAACCTAAAAGCACAAGTGTTGCAGTTTAATCAAATATCTTCCATATGGATAGAATTTCAAATCAGAGCATATTTCTATATATTTTTGATTTTTTGGTTTTGTTTTGTTTTGTTTTTTAAGTCTTCTTAGCAAATCAGTGATAGTTTGAACAGAACAATTAGATCAAGAGCATTGTCTGCTGCAATTAGTCTTTTCACAGTTTAAGTGAGCATCATAAAAACAGAGTGCCACTGTAGTGAGTCTGGCAAGCACAAATGAACTGTAGCAAACAGAAACAGACACTGGTAACATCTTCACATCCATTCAACAACCAGTGGCAAGTACAGAAAGCTTTACAAAAGCACACCATATGTGATCATACTATCTTTTAAATCTGACCCAAATGCATTCAACTCATATTTTCGGAGTACCTTCATTTTCACAAAATGCTTTTGTCCAAAACAGTATAATACCTTGTATTTCACATGGTCTTTTTCAAAGTTAAAGCAGAAATGTTAAATGCCATGCATAAAATGTTTCTAGGCTTTCATCAACAAAGTCAAACCTCTATAAAAACCACTGGAAATGAGTAAAAATGTGAAAACTGTCCTAGCCCACAAGGGGGACATAGAGGCTTACCCTGCTAGACTTCTTGTTATCATGCCCAGCCACCTGACCTGTTGCTATGGTAATTTTGTCTGGATGAACTGCCAAGCTAAAAAGAATATAAATTTTTTTAATCTTTAAAGTTGTGACAATATTTCTATGCTATAAAGGGCAATAATGACACAAATTCTAGCTCAAATACAGACAAATTCTATTCCATCTTAAATGCACAAGTCATTATAACTGGTAAAAAATATTTTAAGGCATTTCCCACAGCCTTAACTTAACTTTTCTAATTGATTAATTGCCTGTAGAGTTTTTCTTATGGCACATGCAACATCTGGATTCATTCCAGCATGTAAATCGCATTGAAAAAAAAAATTAACTCTAACTG